CTCTGGGCTCTCTCTCACCACCCTTCCTCTGCTTTCCACTCACCCACCACCCTAAGTTCATACCAGAACAACCGTAATAACCTTCAAACTGATTCCCTCCTATGGTTCCTGCCCATTCAAGTCCATCAGTCACCCTTCTCACAGACTCACTTTTCTGCAACACAGATCTTCCTCAAGCCCGTTTCCTCTTCAAAATGTTTACTGATTCCTTATTCCCCATCTAATAGTGTCCAAAAGTCAGAATCCGATCCTCCAAAATACAACAATTTCTGGTCTTTGATTAATATTTGAATGCAAAATTTCACATACATATGACTATGTACAGCCACTCACTCAAATGAAATATGAAAAAAAGATTTCTCACATCAATGGAATAAGTAGATCAGTTTAAAATGAGTGTGGGCTTTTAAAATAACAGGATCTCCTCTAGGAAGTGGTGGTTAGTGACTACTTAAACTTGTTTTCTGTTTCCTTAAGGAACAAAGGGTGATTTATCTTGAAACCTATGGATTGAATGTCAGTATTCCCATCACTTAGAAATGATCAGTTTTTCTTTTTTATGAACTGTCCTGTCATCGAAGGATGAGTGGAATCAGCATCAGATGTGTTTATCAGGACGGTTGAAAACCAAAGTGGTCGGGATCACGGAACCTGATGCTTGTTGTCAAAAGAAATTATGCTCTGGCCAGTGTGGTTTAGTTGGTTGGGCATCAGCTGGTGCACCCAAAGGTAGCTGATTCAATTCCTGGTCAGGGCACATGCCTGGGTTGTGCAGGAGGAAGCCTGATCAATGTTATGCTCTCATTTCTCTCTTCTCCCTTCCTCTTTCTGAAAATCAATAAACTATTTTTAAAAAAAGAAAAAATAGCCGAAACTAGTTTGGCTCAGTGGATAGAGCATCAGCCTGTGGACTGAAGGGTCCCGGGTTGAATTCCTTGATTGAGGCAGCTGATCGATGTTTCTCTCTCATTGGTGTTTCTAGCTCTCTATTCCTCTCTGTAAAAAATCAATAAAATATATTTTTGAAAAAAGAAAGAAAATATGACTGGTAGTGTTACTTCATAGAGCCCTGAAATTGCCTAAATGTCTGTCATAATGTTGTTAATTATGAGTTAAAATATGGCTATATATTTTAACTCATAATTAACAACAAACATTATGATAGACATGGTTAATAACCAAAGTCTATAAAGATTAACTTTATGCCAAACTATTATAACCCCACTAGTGTAGCATGGGAGAGTACCACTTTTTTTTTTAATAAACATGTGACACTTTTAGAATCTAGAAAAATGTCTATTTGAAACAATGAATTTTCAAGTTTTCTGCAAAAAGTCATATGAACAATTAACTTAGTGATTTGGTGTTTGTTGGATGTTTTGAAAAAGGCTATCGTGGCTCGTCCCCTCTAATGAGTTCATGTCTAAATGACATCTTTCTATACCAGTTAGGAATAGCCACCAGACTCAGAGCTCACTAATGGGAGTTTGCTCATTCGATCCAATCATTGTTGACCAATTTGAATTTAGAATATTATCTGAACCTTGATTAGCCATTCGTCAAAGCAGCCTGATGGGAGAGGTGAACATGATCACCATGTCAGCGAAAGCAGCTGCCATGCCCTGGGGAAGTCAGGTCTCCAATTACGCAGCCGGGCCCGCCAGCATCAGGCCAGGTTTCAGCGCTGCCGCACTTCCAATGAAAGATGCAAGAGTGAAAATTTAAAAAAATATATTCCAATGTTTCCATTTTCTGAGCACTGGACTTTAGACTTACTAAAATTTCAAAGCATCTATCCGTCTTGGAAACTTTCATAAATGCAACACCAGGTCTATCCTACCATTTTCCACGGCAACCCAAATATAAAATGTACACAATTGTATATTTGCTTTTAACATGTTCACAAATTTCCTCAAATGTACAAAGAGAAGTATCTTAGTGAAGATAGGATGATAAGCAAACAAAACATCCCTATGGGATATTCATTGCACGGGGGGCTCCGTGTTGGAACCATAAACAGGGATGCGGGGGGAAATCAGACACCTGTAACGTCTTGGCCCAAAGGTGCTCATAGTTTGATAAAGAAACCAGTCTAATGCAGCTGAAACTTAAGAATACTGTAGAAACACTTTTAAATGTGTGTCTTCCCAATTTTAGAAGCATATTTTCCTACATCTTTCTCAAAAAAAAAAAATATATATGTTCTGGTAGTTGTTTTATTTAAGCTTAAGGTGCTTGGTGCCCATGTTACTTTAGAAGGTTTGGGGAAATGATAAGAATTGGTCCTGAAAGTATTTGTGCCATTATTTAAAGAATGCTCTCTAGAACTCTCTCTTTTGAGAAGAAAAATATGGTGGCATAATCTAAGAGAAAACATGGTGAATAACTAGAAAATCCTCCTAGCCAGCCATGGAAAGATAGCAAAGGTAGCAAATCAGTGTGTAATCTCTTTCCACTCCCCTGGGCCACCTCGCACAGTGGTTCTCTGTGCTCTTCCCAAAGCCAGTCTCTCTCAGGCAGGCATGCTTGTTGCTTTTAATGGAAGAGCGAGAGCACTCTCCATACCTCTCCAATGAGTGTAAATCCTGTTTATATTCTTGTCTGGCCCGGGCTTATGGCTGCAGGAGAATCCACTCTGTGTTGTGAGCACACACAGCCTGTCCTGATTCCCTTTTTTGGCCGGGGGAGCCTCCTCGGAGCTCTTGAGGGGGGAAATGGCTCTTTCTTCCTTGATCTCGGGGCAAAGTCAACATGAAAATAAGAGACCTAGCCGGCCCGTCCTCCTTCACGTCACCTCCGACTTCTCATTCAAAGGGGTGCTCGGGGCGGCAGGTGGAGTTATAATTATAGATTAGAAAAAAGCCACCTCAGCAGCTGCTGCTTCTGTTTGTTCCCGGCTATAACTGTCATCATTGGGCAAATTTGGCATAAACAGGCCTCCACAAGTGGAAAATCATTTAACCCCTGTGCTCGTCTGGGTGCTCTCAGTGGCCAGAAAACAGAAAGAAAGCCTGACTGTGCACAAGCAAAGGGTGGAACCAAGAGTGCCTGGCTGACCGGGAGGGCCCTGGTCAGGGGGCGCCTGAAGATTCTCTTTCCTGTCGGAGACTCCAAACCAGACAAATAGGTTAGTGCCCGGAGAGGACACCTCTGCGTTTTCTCTCCTCTCTCTGGTCTTTGTTTTTCTGACAGAGCTTAACGACAGGGCTGAGCTGTCCCAGGAGAGAGAGTTGTGTGAGGACTGTGCTTTAAAACGGCTGTGATAGCTATGAAATGGGCTGACTTTATTACGGTCCTCTCCCAATTTGGGCTGAATTCACATCAGACAAACAGACAAGGTAAACGTGGAAATAGGAAACCGGTGCTGTGGCATGAGTCCCATCCTTTCGTAATGCCACTTGCTCATGCCAAAAGGCCCTGGGTTGTTGTTTTAATTGAAATGAGGAATATTGGAGGCTTACGTTTGGGATTACCAAAACAAAACAAAAAAGTAATACCTTGAATAGAGTCCCAGAGTTTTATTTCTTTAGGGAAACAGGCAAATTAGAATTGGACTGTTTTCCTGGCTCGAAATAAAAGCAGGACTTTTTCTGGTTTAATAGTAAAATGTGTGTTATAGGCTACTTTATACAAGAAATTGGCTATAGGGTTTATTATAATTATGCCTAAAAGCTCTACTGTATAACTTCAGTCTAAGTCGCTCCCTAAGACTTTCCTCATAAATCCCTTGGAGAAAAATCAAAAGGTTTCAGAGAAATCTCATTTTTACCTGCGTTCCATGTTAGAGGGTAGCTGAGCAGGAATTTCGAAGATTAGCTTTGGGCCATCTTCTCAAAACCTGTGTATTTAATCTCTTGGTGAAAAACAATGGAATTCCAAGGAACTCACTGAAAACAGAGTTTTGGGGCCCAGTTCTCATCCTACTCACACTCCTGGGACAGCTCCAAGTGGAAAGAGTCCTAAATAATGGCCTCGATCTTTTAGCTCCAAACGGAAAGTGAGCCATCCCTACGCAATTTGTGCCACATTTTTCAATGGGAACGTGCACCTTTGTCAGTGTCACTGCGGCCCAACGTTTTGTCTATCTGTTAAAGTACCTAGAGGCCAGCTATGCACCCGGAGCTCCATTAGAGAGACACCCACATCCAATTAAAACCAGCACGAGCAATCCATTAATTAACTTCCCACTAGGGCTTGCTTCTTTTTTTGTTTCTTTTAAAAAAATATATGTTTTTATTGATTTCAGAAAGGGAGGAAGCGGGAGAGAAAGACAGAAACATGAGTGGTGAGAAAGGATCATCGATTGGCTGCCTCCTGCACACCCCACACTGGATCAAGCCCACAACCCGGGCATGTGCCCCGATTGGAAATCGAACGTGACCTCTCAGTTCATAGGGCGATGCTCAACCACTGAGCACACTGGCGGTGTGGGGCTTGCTTCTTTCTAACAATGTCTCCTGATTTCTAAAAAGAGAGCCATACTACCCCTTTGGAAGTTTAAGGGTAAAATAAATAAATAACTCTGTACTTACTTTAGCAAATAAAGGGCCAAAGAATTACTTTGGCCACTGCTTTTGAAAATGTCAATCAATATAGCATATGAATACCCCAAATCTTTCTGTGTGTTAAGAAAAGTATAGGATAGGTAATATGACAACCTATCTCCTATATCTCATTTGTGTATTCCCATATTTATGGAGGAATGGCTATGTAATCTAAAAATAATACTTAGAAATGAAGGCAAGCTTACAATTACTGATATTACTCTTTCCAGAGATGGTTTTCCTCTTTTTTCTACTAAGCACTTTAGCACCAAGATGGTGGTTATGTCCAAATTCCAATTTGTGCAAACTGAGAAAGGCAAAAGGAGGGGAGGTGACTGACTGGTTGATGGTGTGGGTTTCCTTTGAGATGCAGACTTTGGCTTGGTCTTAAATGTGCTTCTCACTTGTCTCTTGTCTTCTTGCTCTTCTAGAAAAAAGCTACCACGATGACTGTCACTTACTCCAGTAAAGTAGCGAATGCGACTTTTTTTGGATTTCATAGGTTACTCCTCAAGTGGAGAGGCAGCATCTACAAACTGCTGTACAGGGAATTTATTGTTTTTGCTGTTTTTTACACAGCAATAAGTTTGGTGTACAGGTACTTTCCTTTGCATGTCTCCCTCGGTGGCCATCAAGTATCACGTGAGAATACAGTCTCAAAAATCTGAGCCCTGCGGTAGCTGCTGACTGGCGTATGTAACCTCCTTTGCATGATCCTCTCTCTTGCCTCCTCCCCGAGACAGGGTATTCTGTCCACGCCAACCGTGTTTAGGACGGTAAATAGACTCACGCTGTCATGTTCAGGTGGTTCTCATTCCAGCCCCACATGAAGTGATCGTGACGAGGCATTAGTTGTGCATCAAGAATGTTGCTAGAGGCACAGAATGAAAGAGTTATACGTACTAGCAGATCCTCGATATGTAATGATTTTGAATGGCAAACTCCACAGATGAATAATTTCTGATGCCTTTCTCAACTATGTCGCTCATAGTCTGAATCTGTGATTTGAAAGCTTATAGCAACTATCATTGTAATGAACGTGTCTGTGGCTGGTGTCTATCAGGCATGTACACCTAACCTAGGGAAGTCCCTTCCTTTTGCCTGGAGTCCACCAACCTCACCAATACCTCAAAGAAAAGGCCAGCAAACTCACTGATTGTCTTTATATCTTCTGAGCTCAGGCCGTGCTATGTTTACAAAAGGGATTTTTTATTTCTTATCACTTCACAACCTGTGCCTGTCAGAATGACAGAAATGTGAGCAATATTATGTCCAAAAAATACTTTTATGACTAAAAATTAGTCTTAATACAATTTTACCAGTATTATAAACTAGATGATCAAAATTAAAATTGATTGCCTACATTTCTTCTCTGGGGGGAATTAAAACAAAACAGAAAAGCTAAAGGTTTTTGAGGCTGTATTTCCACCTTTTCTATGTACATCATTTGTTATTTTCCTTCTGCATACAAATGAACACATTTGTGTAGCATTGCTCTCACCTAACATTCTTCCTTGCAGCAATGGGACCCCAGTTGAAGAAGAGGGATATTAATTTGGTTGGCTGATAATCATCAAAAGTAAAATAGAAAGGTCTATGTAGCTAACTATCAAAATCACTAGTTCAATAAGCATATATATTGGTATACATTTTGACCAAATGTCTTTAATTGGAATGTTTTATTAAAAACCTCTAATAATTTTTTCAGATATCTCTGATAATAGTATTTTGACAACTTATTTATGTCTTACCTAATCCTTCAGAATATGAGATGATGAAAGACACATGACACGGATTGTCTCAGTTTATTTTTACTAATGTGAATTATTGCTGCTACTGCTGCTTAGAAGAGAATAGCCCTTAGAACGGTTGCATTGTAGCCAGAAATGCTCCATGGAGCTTTAACTTTTGCTCCAATATCTTATTTACACCCCACAAAATTATATGCATATATTTTTTCTAAAAACCAAAGAGTGCTTACACTTATAACAATAACCATTAGTTCAAGTCATTCTTCGTATTTTGAAGTCCAATTGTAAAAACTTGTTAAAATAGATCCTTATATCTTGATCAAAGGTACACCAAAAACTATCAGCTGAATTTGTCGAAAAAGTCAAGTAGACATGTAGAAAAATATAGACATAGTTTTCTTCGCATGTCTACTAATGACCCTACTTTTTTAATCCTATTAAAAGCAAATAAATGTACTTAGCAAAAGTCATAAGACAGAGCCAGAACTCATTAATTTGATTACATCTCTTCCTAATTTTGTATGGATGTGACAAAATAATTGCTGCAGTACTTTCTAACTAGTAAAGTTTCTGTATGTGTCTATTAGTTAAATATTTTTCCTTTGACCAATTATTAATAAGAACAACCACTTTGTTATTGATTAAGTACAACGCCAGGTGTTATGTTGTTTTATATCTTATTTAATCCTCATAATATCCCTGATGTCGAGATATTATATCCCCATTTACACATGAGAAAACAGAGGCTCAGAGAGATTTTAAAATATGCTCAACGTTAAATCTGTAAGTGACAGACCTGGAATTCAAACCTGGCTTCCCCTGACACCCTGGCCTGGCTTTCCACTATTAAATCCTCTTTGACCATTTCTATTTGAGTATCGGAAACCATTCTGGCTGTTCATCGGCATGAGCCGATGGGTCTGCAAAAAGGTGATGCCTCTCCTGTCAGCTTCTCCTGACTCCAGAGTTTCTGACCACTCTTCCAAAGCTGAGGCCAGAGCTCCAAGCCCACCCCACGCCCCGTACCCCGCATCCCATCTTTGTCAGACCAGCTCCCATTCCTTCATCTGTAATCTGACTGGTGGCTCACTGTTCCCTCATTATCCCCCTACTTCCTTCATCAAAGTCCTACTGACCCAGATAGGCCTCTGCAGCACGTTAACCTGGGCCTTCCCAAGGGCTTCCTTCTCCTTGGGAGCAGCTACCCTCATTCACTGATGCAAATTCATCTCTGTTGCTTCTCTTTCCAGATTTTGATCATTATTAACCTGCCTGGAGACATTCCTTCTGATTCTGAATCTCCTCCCTACAGCATAAATATTAATAATAGTTCCATTAAATGAATTTATGTTTTAACAGTATCGTGAAGTGAACTTGGGTCAGATCTATAACACAAATGTTGATATTTATATTATGTTAATATAAACCCACTAAATATAATAATAAAAATGTCCACTTCTAATTGTTAAATCTGTTATTTTACATTTTAAATAGTTGCAGGATTTAAAATAAAGTTATACTATCCCTTGAAATACAATACAGAAAATCAAGAATGTGCTGAGTAGCATATTTAAGAAAAAGTAAGATCAAGATGTCAAGATCAGGGTGATTATTCAATAATAACTTAATCACTGTAATCCTCTTAATCAAGATTTTTTTTTTCTCTTTGAGTACATCTAATGAATGATTGAAAAACCAACTATTTGATGAGGTATTGTGCTCCAAATCCAATGCAATTAATCATATAAAAGTTTAAAATATAAAGTCTTTAAAAATAAAATGTTTAATAAATGTAGTGTCCAATAACATTTATGTAAAAACATTAGTACTGGAAAGATTCAGCTTTTGAGATATATCAGCTTAGTTAGAAAGGAAAAAGTTATTGCTCCTTAAAAAAAACATTTTACGATTATTTGTGCTTAATTGTTTGCACTGAATATCACTTGCAAAGCAGGTGCAGAAGTATAATATAAAGGGCTGTGCATTTTATTTTTGCTCTAGATTGTTACTTACAGGAGCCCAAAAACGTTACTTTGAAAAATTATCAATTTACTGTGACAGATATGCTGAACAAATTCCAGTAACCTTTGTGCTTGGTAAGTATAGGTCACACGCAGAATGCAGCCACACAGCTGTCTCCGTTAGGATGACACCGATGACTGCATGGGAGTGTTTCTGAGCTGCAAGGCATGCCTGAAAAGCCGCCGCTCGCGCTAGAACCAGAATCACCCGTCAGGTTCACCTTCAGGGCTGCTTTCGCTAAATTAACCCCAAACAAGTTTGAGGTAATGACCTGCTACTGGACAATGAAGCTTTCTCTCCACTAACCCTCCATTTTCGCTGTCCATTTTTGAGTTCTAATACCCACTTACTGGGAGCTACGGCATTGCCAGGCACAGATTACTTTTTTTTTTTTTTTTTTTCCTGGAGGGCGAAATCATAAGGTCTGGATAACAACGTATTTTTATACCCCAAACCGTAAAGAGGCTAAAACTCAGCTAAAAGCATCGGCGTTGGCGTGTCTGCTCTAAGGAAGGGCTGTGCGGTTTCCCCGCTGTTCCACAGGGTTTTACGTCACGCTGGTAGTGAACCGATGGTGGAACCAGTTTGTGAACCTGCCCTGGCCGGACAGGCTGATGTTCCTCATCTCCAGCAGCGTGCACGGCAGGGACGAGCGCGGGCGCCTGCTCCGGAGGACACTGATGCGCTACGTCAACCTCACGTCCCTGCTCATCTTCCGCTCCGTGAGCACCGCGGTGTACAAAAGGTTTCCCACGATGGACCACGTGGTGGAAGCAGGTACTGTGAAATGCTTTTCCTCCCGTGGGCTCCTCTCAACCTAGGGGAACCTTCAAAATTCCTTTGAAAATCCCTCATGCATTCATTCATGAAATATTTATTGATTAACTACTATGTGCTAGGAACAGGCTTCAGAGGGCAAAGTGGTAAGACATGGTTCCTGCCCTCAAATGGTTTACTCAAGCAGGAACCGGTTTGGCTCAATGGATGGAGCATAGGCTTGCGGACTGAGGGGTCCCTGGGTTGATTCTGGTCAGGGACATGTACCTTGGTTGCGGGCACGTCCCCAATGGGGAGTGTGCAGGAGGCAGCTGATCCATGTTCCTAACTCTCTATCCCTCTCCCTTCTCTGTAAAAAAAAAAATCAATTATATATATATATATTTTAAGTTTACTCGAGGGTTTGGAGGAGGAGAAGCAACAGTCACATGGCCTTTAGGTAAATATGGTAGCTATTATCATCTTTACTTAAACCATCTAGCCCCAGCTGGTTTGGCTCAGTGGATAGAACTTCAGCCTGGGACATGAAGCATCCCAGGTTTGATTCTGGACAAGGGCACAAGCCCAGGTTGCAGGCTCAATCCCCAGTAGGGGGTGTGCAGGAGACAGTTGGTAGATGATTCTCTCTCATCATTGATGTTTCTATCTCTCTTTCCCTCTCCCTTTCTCTCTGAAATAGATTTTAAAAAATATATAAATCATCTATAATATTACATTTTTCTACCACTTCACAGTTAATCCATTTTCATAAATATTATTTCCCTTGGACTTTAAAAAAACAATGAGAAAAGTAGAAAATGGTCTCAGAGAGGTTACAACCTGCCCTGGATCACACAGCACACAGTTGTAATCCAGGCTCAGAACTTCTAAATTAATACTTTTCCCAAAGCAGTAGGAGATTCTGTTAGGAAGCAGCAATGTGGGTTTTATCGAGGCAGATCCAGAGAGGTGCAGTAAAAGACCACTTCAGTGGGTCTATCATCTCTCCTGCTTCTCAGAGCAGATGCAGTTATCCTACCTGGGCCCCCAGATACATTAAGCTGAGGAACAATTATGTCGGAAGATGGTTCTCTTTGGTGTATTAGTATTTAGAGGAAAAGTTGTGAGTTAAACCAGCCTTCAATGGAATAAGGATTAGATGAGATTAAGTGTTGTTGGCTTATGCTGGTTGTTGTGCTGGATTCTTGTTAATAGAAGTGTTTATTGGAATGGTTAATGAATGTGTACAAGACAAAAGAATCATGAGATGATTCCATTTTAACATTGAGTATGCTCTTAAATTAGATTGTTGTGTCTATTCCCCTCTAAAATGTCCTTGAAAATACATTTTTTTAAAGGATAGTATTTTTGGAGGGTATTTTTTTCAGGGGGCGGGGACTTTGCTTTGGTTTGGCTTTGCCTTGTTAGTTGAGAAATATAATGACTAAGAACACAAAGTAAGAGTTCAAACTCTTCCTCTACCACTTACTAGCTATAAGACTTTGTGTGCATTTCTTAACCTTTCTATGCTTCAGTTTCCTCATCCATAAAATGAGTTTATGGTAATTTATAATACCACCTATCTCATATACCTCACTGGCTTCCTGCGAGGGTTAATCAAATTAACATTTGCCAAGTGTTTACAGCACTCTCTGACACATGGTAAATGTTACAGTTCTCTCTAGAAATAATGAAATCACCTAGCACCGTGTGTCGGAAACTGCAGCTCTCGAGCCACAAGCGGCTCTTTGGCCCCTTGAGTGTGGCTCTTCCACAAAATACCATGGCCTGGGCGAGTCTATTCTGAAGAAGTGGCGTTAGAAGAAGTTGAAGTTTTAAAAAATTGGCTCTCAAAAGAAATTTCAATTGTTGTGCTGTTGATATTTGGCTCTGTTGGCTAATGAGTTTGCCAACCACTGAACTAGCACAACAGCATAACATAGTTCTTTGGTCACTTTAGAAGACTTGTTGATGTGACATCCTAGGTCTTCTTGAACTAAAGGACCAGGAGTTTGAGAAAGTCAAGGTAGAAATAAATAAGGAGGCGTGCAGAGGATGTTGTTGGGGTTACCGACGTGAGAAAGTAGCAGGGTGCAATGTGCCGTAGTTAAGGATTCAGGCGGATGTTACAATGGCCTGGGAAGAGCACAGGCATATCATGATGTAAAATCAGTAGAAACGTTTAAAAATTAGCTGCCACACCTTCTCCAAATGTAAAAGGTGAATAGTGCTTCCGAATGATCAAGTTGCAAGCTCTACTTGATAACTTAATTTTCTTACCCAAACACCTATAGGACCAAACGCAGTAAGAATTACCACATCTGAAGAAAGACCTAAAAATAAATGGGAAAGGTTTGACCCATTCCAAACTGATGAGTGAGAGCTAAAGTTGACTTGGATGAATAAAGGTGATCTTTTGCTAGTCCTGATGCATCCCTGACATGAAGAGAGCGCATTCTGACAGGAACCAGACACCACGGGCAATTCTCAAAACAAAATCTCGTCCTCTCAGCGTCACCTTCATATTAAAAGCAAATCAGGAGGAAGCCAGGATGGCTGGGGATGGAGAGGTTTGGGGGCATCTGCGCAGACCTGAGCTCAGGAAGGCTGAGCTGTGGCCCGGCCGGGTTGCTCAGTTGGTTGGAGTGCAGCTGTAAGCAAGAATGGATATGGCCCGTGACCTCAGAGATCAGTAAAAATCATCACAAATCTTTTCTTACGTGAATCTTTTCCCGAGTCGATCACAAGCACAGCGAAATCTCCTATCTCTAGGTTGTATTTCTATTTCTCTAAAATAATTTCCTTCTGTGTCCGTAAGAATGGTGGGAAGAGAGTAAAACTTGAGGAAAGGGCACTCTGCTTTTCTTAGTTAAAGCCCTGGAATCTTTATGTGAGGTTTCTTGAGCTTCTTGAGAGCCCTTGGGAATTTCTTTCCATGCTTATCGCTAACAGGCATTAATACAACTAAGCAAGCTCCCAATTGTCAAGTGGCTGGTGAGATAAAGATTCTAACTTTAGAGGCACTGGCTGGAAGGCGAGCCCCATTTGAGTTTCTGGTGTTTTTTAGATCATTTAACCTGTGATCTTCTCTCACTAAGTAAAACCAAATGGATTTTGTGTTATATGGACGTTCTGCTCTGTGTCTCCTGTTCAAGTTTTCCCTGGCTCATTGCATGACTCTGGGGCTCCTTGGTCTCTGACGTCTCCAGCTGCTCTGTGTTACAAGAGAGATGATCAAGGGACAGTGGTATTCACAGTGGTGCCAGTTTTCCCTCCGTTGGCTGAACATTTACAGGCTGAGTCAGTCTCCCTGCAGCCTCACATGATGAGCCCAGACAGACAGAATGTCATCCTGTGAGTGAAACCTGACGCACCGCGTGCACTTGCATTACACAGGGGAGAGGGTGCGCGCAGGAGAGCCAGTACTCCTTGGATCGGGGACACGCACGGGAAGTCTCAGCTGGTCTGTGGCTGAGGCCCCCCACAGATCCCTGTTAGGAGTTAAGTCAAGGCCACCCACTCAATGTTTCTCAAAGTGTACGTGTAGACCATGCTCATTGACTTATCAGAGGTACTTATTTCAATGGCAGGTGCCCAGGCAATGGATGGAATCAGAATCTCTGGGGCTTAGGAGATAGGCATCCACATTTTTAACGAGCTCCCCAGCGGCACTGCAGGATCTGACCCGGACAAAAACGCCGACATGGCCCGCTTGCCATGTTGATCCCATGCACAGGGTCGTTGTGCTAATTGGAATCACTAGAGATCTTCTGAAAATACTGGTGTCTGGCTCTCCCTCCCAGGAGTTAGGTTCCATGGGAATAGGGTGCATCAGTGGTTTTTAAAGCTCCCCAAACCATTCTAACATGTAGCAAAGTTTAGGAACCATTGCAGTAGGTCAGTGGCAGCAAACTCATAAGTCAACAGAGCCAAGTATCAACAGTAGAACGATTAAAATTTCTTTGGAGAGTCAAATTTTTTAAACTTAAACTTCTTCTAACACCACTTCTTCAAAATAGACCCGCCCGGGCTGTGGTATTTTGTGGAAGAGCCACACTCAAGGGGCCAAAGAGCCGCATGTGGCTGGCAAGATGTGGCTTGCCAACCACGGCACTAAGTACATCTATTAACTCCTCAACTTTATCTGCAAATCATCTCAGACCTAGACACAGAGGGCTAATGAAATTCTTGGCTACCTGGGCAAGTGAGGAGGTATGAGCACTGACTTCCTGTATGATGCTAGCAGTTCCTGTGTGTCATGAGTGTAAGGCAGTGAATTACCACATAGGATCCTGATGTAGGGGTGGGGAGATGGCTGACTCATATCAGGAACACAGAGGGGTTTCTCTGACTTTATTCAGCATAGCTGCTCCAGAAACTGATTTTACTCAACTATTTACTATTTTGAGCTTCTTAAACTGTGAGTTGTAATTTAGTGTTGAGTTTTAAGTCATTTTAATGGCATGGCTTACAACCAGCATTTTAAATAGAGTGGGATGGAATGGAATGGGATGGAAAACATTGGGTAGAAGAGCAAATAGTTGTTTTGTGAACCACATATATCTGACTGTGGTTCGTTGTATAAAATGTCTGACAGAGAGCCCTACACAGTCAGTGCCTTCACAGTGTGACTCCATCTCTCCCTCAATCTCATTTCGCCTCCTCTTGATTTTCCCAGTTGGCAGGGATTTCTAAACCTCTACCATTAAATTTAGAGGACAGCTGTAGTTGAATCTGGTGGCTTCATTCCATTCATATGGGAAATACAGAGATGAAAATGAGCCAGGCACTTTGCAATGTTCCTGAAAAAGTCATCTCTCTGAGAAGGGCTCAGTTGCTGAATCACAACTTTCTCTTTCCGAAAGAACTGGCAGCAAACCCATTCCTCCCTCAGGTTCTCAGATGCAGAGCTTGTAGCTCTCCTGGTAATAGATTCTCCTCTGCTTTAAACGCAAGACATCTGCCTCAGCTGCAACCAAGGAAAAATAGATCAAGTGTACAGACAAAATCTATGACTACTGAAATATTGTTTGTCAATGGACTTAATTAATCCTTTAGCTTGAAGGCAATAAAATTTGCCTTGTAGTAGCAGAACTTACTCCACCAAACCACAATTCAAGTTGCAAGCAAATACAAATGTGTGTGTGTGTGTGTGTGTGTGTGTGTAGATTTTTATTTACTTTGATCTGAAATATTAAGGAGAATTCTTTGGGATAAGCAGTAGGAAAATTGCTGAGCAGAGCTTTACCAGCCAGAAAGCCAGAGGAAATATAGAACAAGGGAGACTCCAGCCAGGTGCAATGGTGAGATAAAATAGCAACGTCAGGAGTATGGATAGGGCCCGCGGGAGAGTGTCATGAAGACCGGCATGTGAAGGAGGCAGGGAGTGTGAGGACCAGCCAACTGATACTGCTGCCAAATGGTAGGAAATCAATACCTGTCAATCAATAACTTAGCCTGAGAGATGCAAATAAAGACCACCTTCTGGAAAAGATCACCGGTTTCTGGTTAAAATGGCCTGAAATACTGATGAGGATAACATGTTCTTTGATAGAAAATGCTCTTTGAATTGATTGAATCAGCAATCTAAATATTTTCTTTCAATTGATTGAAAACGTGATTTTCAAAGACAGGGTTACTTTGGCTAAGATGTGTGTCCCCACAGGGAATAACAAAAAATATTCTCCTGTACACTCTTGAAGGACATATTAATGCCTGGTTAATCATCTTTCAATGTATTTGGGCTAAAATTAAAAGCCAGCAGCTTTCTTTGCTTTGCATGACTGCTTCTAGTTAGTAGTAAGTATGCTACATGGTGGCGGGGTGGGGAGGCCTGATTTCAGCTTTGGTGTTTGCTCTAAATAAGCCCTCACTCTTTTTTAATGCTGTTGTTAATCCTCATCTGAGGATATTTATTTTTAGGGAGAGTAGAGGGAGGAAGATAGAAAAACATAGATGTGAGAGAAACACATCAATTGGTTGCTTTCCACACGAGCCCTGACTGAGGCTCGGGATTGAACCTGCAAACCATGTCTGTACCCTTGACCAGGAATTGAACCCTCAACCCTTCAATGAGAGGGCTGGTGTTCTAACCACTGAGAACAATGGTCAGCTAAACCCTCACTCTTCATATTTGCTTTCAGCTAAGAAGCCAAGAAAGGACTTGCCAGCAGAATTTGATCCATATTCCTGAATAAAAAATAACTAAAAGTAAAGTTATTTCTTGGTCAAATGACAAAGATTGCAGCCAGTATACCAATGGGAAAATTTTTTTAAAAACTGCACTATAATCCCAAGAATATAACTGTTAAGTATAATAATTGATATGAAATGTCTGAGAATAGGTTTCCAAGTAAAGAATGATGCATAGAACCAAGACAGGTCAAGTTCATCTATTAAATTCTTTCTTTAAAAAAAAAAAAATGTTTTTTTGATGTGTGTGTTTGTGTGTGTTTGTGTGTGTGTGTGTGTGTGTGTGTATGTGTGTGTGTTGTTTTTTGTGGGTTTTTTTGTTTTGTTTTGTTTTAGGGAAAGATAAAAACATCAATTGGGTGCCTCCTGCATGCCTCCTACTGGAAATTGAGCCTGAAATCCAGGCATGTGCCCTGACCAGGAATTGAACCGTGACCTCCTGGTGCATGGGACAACGCTCAATCCACACAGGCCAGGCCATCTATTAACTTCTTGTAATAAAAATTAACCATGGTCTGCAAGTCCTGGGTGGGGTGGGGAGAAAAGCATAGTTATCAGGCTGGTGCAACTACTTTGAGATGCACCAACAACCGAGATCAGAATTATCAGGCTCATTTGATTTCTGAACTCCGAAGAGAGTGCAGATTCCCAGGCATGAGCAGAACCCTTCTAAGCTAATGTAAATAATATATTATCTACAACGAGTCTCCTGTTGGTACATATTGGCTTTGTAGTTGTTACTCTGTTAGTTTCAAATTCGAATAAACAGAATCTTCTGCCAGTGTGGAGTGGTCTTCAAACACAACTATAGGTCAGTGTCAGATTTTCCTGCAGAACTTGGTAAACATGCAAACACATGAGCCCATTCCCATGAAATCACCCAGGAAGACTGAAAAGAATGCTAATGCCTGAACCTCACTCGAGGGTCTAGAACCAGGCTCTGGGGATAAGGCCAATGCGTGGTATTTTCTAAAAATATTCACGTGAGACTCTGCCCTATGGAGTGATTTAGTAGGTGAGACTGGTATCACAGGTGATTTCGATACCCATAATCCCTGGATCCTATTCTCAAACACACTGGGCTAGGTAAAAAGGTTATATAAAAAGTCTAGGTAACTCCAGAGCTCTATGAATTGGTGACTCAAAATGGCCAAGTCTCACTTTTACTCTGACTTCCTTGCGCTACAGCAAGGCCTCTTAAGTAAAGCTCGGTCTTTGTGGTTAGGAGGGAGGATTACTTTAAACAGGATGGCCGGATTCGTACACTGATCAAGATGCTCAAGAATAAAAACTGTGTTACATTGGGGCAAAAGTAGATTTTTATCTAAATGTGTTATCAGAATTTCATAAGTAAATGGTTGCATTGCTGAGACAAAAGTAACTGAAAAATTATTATTTCACAAATAATCAGTTTAAAAATAAACTTTAATTCAGAAAATATTATTTATACTAAATCATAATGAACATTTAAAAATCCACTTAAAGAATCAAAAGGGTGCCCAACCGGTGTGACTCAGTGGTTGACCTTGACCTATGAACCAGGAGGTCAAGGTTTGATTTCCCGTCAGGGCACAGGCCTGGGTTGTGGGCTCGATTCCCGTCGGAGGCGTACAGGAAGCAGCTGATGGATGATTCTCTCTCATCTTTAACATTTCTATCTCTTCTTCTCCTTTCCTCCCTGATATAAATAAAATATGTATATTTTTAAAAAATCAAAGGGTTAAGTACAAGGATAGTCATGGCAGCATTAACTTTAATAACAAAAATTTAAAAACTACGTCAAGTCTATTCAAAAGAAGATCATTAAATAAATATTGTATACAATTAACCAGGATGAAGCCATTAAAAAGAATGACCTGCTCTCTCTATATTACTAAATAATATATTTAATATATAAATGAAAATAGAAGCAAACAATAGACATGTGTGTCATATAAATCCATTTATGTTCTTTAAAAAATTAGGGCTATATGAAATTCATGATATTTCTCTGGAAAGTGTGTGGCTGGGAAAATAATACTCACTTTCCCCATCAATATTTCTTTGGCCCTTTGGGGGATTTGCACCATTTGAATTATTCCTTTTTTTTTTTTTAATAAAGGGTTAAGTGTAAACCGTAAGCTTTTCAAATGAATCTTCATATGAACAAACCCTGGTACATAGTAGACATTCAATAAATGTTTGTTTATCAAATAAACCTGCTACATTATTCCTCCTATTACTCAAATCTCTCTTTTCCTTGCTGTGTAGATGTGGGGGGGAGGTAGCTAAAGTTTCACATAGTGCATTATGCATCAGCCCTTACTGAGTGCTAAGTGCGTGCTAAGCATTGTGCGTCTCTTGGCATGTGTTCAGCATCTCAGGTAATTCTACATCTCAGTGAAGTACATATTATCACCTCTCTTTTACACATAAGAAAACCAAGGCTTAGAGAGTTCTCTGCAAACTCAAGCAAATTGTGTTACACACACACACACACACACACACACACACAAAAGCACCTTTCAAGTAGATGCAAAATGTTGTGAGAATGATGAAAATAATATGCTCTTGTCCTTCCCAAGGAACTTGACAGGGAAGCATTTCTGTATAATATACCATAACGCATGGCAAGAGAGAGCCCGGGTGGGAGCTTTGAGGAAGAGAAATTTATTCGGGGAGGGAGGCTTCACCGATGAGGACCTGATTAATTAAGACTTGGAAGGGAGTGGTCAGGAGGAGTCCTGCGGCCCATGTTTCCACACCATACTAAGTGCTTTGTATACATCACAACCTTTTATTCTTTTAGTCCTAACAAGTCTGAGTATTCTTGTTCCCAGTTTTGGATGAGTAAATCAAAGCCTAAAGAAGAAGCCTTTCCCAGATGCTTGGGCCACACTCAATATGGGCTTACTCCCTACTCTGCCAAGGATTGCCAACATGCATTGCCTCATGTAGTGACACAAAATTGTGTGTTCACACACCGTGTGTGTGTTCGTGCATACACATTTCTTATCTCTAATACAAGTATAAAGGACTTGCAACAGGAACCTCAATATTTCTTTAATATTCCTCCATTGTACACTCACATAGTAGACACTGAAATACTTATGCCAATGTATTGGTGCTAAACTAAGTCTGTGTAATCCGGCTATTTTTATTTGTACAAAGGTTTTATGACATCAGATGAAAGAAAATTATTTGACCACCTCAAGTCTCCTCATCTGAAATATTGGGTTCCATTCATCTGGTTTGGAAATCTGGCAGCGAAAGCCCGGAAGGAAGGTAGAATCAGAGACAGTGTTGATCTGCAATCATTGATGACTGTAAGTACATCGTGATTGTCACACACACACACACACACACACACACACACACACGATGCTAATCAGAGACCAAGAGGGAGCTGGATGTGACAGGTTGGACCAGTGCAAATCTGCTTTGCTTAATTCAGAACCCTCAGCATGCAGGACAGGACAGCACACAGGCTGTAACTCAGATTGATTGGCATTTGGTTGCTTGGAAACTCTGTGTTAAACAGTATTGGGCTTGCAATATGCTCTGCAGGAAAGTGTCCCTTGATTGATTGGCAATGCCTGCCAAGGGTTCTGAAGGATCTGGTGCCCACACAGCAGATTTGCATTCCTGGCTCCAGGACCTCCCCAGTCAGTTCCCAAAATTGGAATAGTTCAGGGTTAAGCCATCTTTTCAGATGCTCCAGGAAACAAAATTGTGTTTTTATTCAACAAAATAACCCTGAATTCACCCGAGAAACAAATTAATATAAGAGCTAGATAGATTTGTGCCATGATAGTCTCCTGCCTGGATTAGGCTAAGAAGAGTGAATGATTTCAAAATAGCTTCTGAATGAATGTGAACTCTTTTTCCCAATCTTAGATAATAATTTATGTGCAATAGAGGGGTGGGGGAGTCAATGGATCCCAGTCTTTCCTGCTTCAAAGAAAGATGGATTTTCTGTCAATATAAGCAACCTTATTTGGAGGTGCTGGAGGGTTAGGATAAATGTATTTCTTTTTTCTAAGATCTATGGCAAGCATGTTTTAAAAAGAAAAAAACAAACAGAAATATCTCCATATAATATACTAAAACTGCTAGAAATGACTTATCTATATTAATAAAAGGGTAATATGCTAATTAGACCCAGAGACCTTCTGAACATCCTTCTGGACAAAGCCACAGAGGCAGGACCGAAACAGAGGTGGTTAGGGGTGATCAGGCCAGGAGGGGAGGGCAGTTGGGGGTGGTCAGGCTGGTGGTTGAGGGACAGTTGGGGGCAAGCAGGCCGGTGGGAGGAAAGACAGTTGGGGGCAAGCAGACGGGGGTCTGCAGTTGGGGGCAGTCAGACCAGAAAAGTGGGCAGTTATGGATGATCAGGCAGGCAAGCAGGTGGGTGGTTAGAAGCCAGTGGTCCTGGATTGTGAGGGGGATGTCTGACTGCCGGTTTAAGCCTGATCCCTGTGGGTCTAAACCAGCAGTCAGATATCCCCCGAGGGGTCCCAGATTGGAGAGAGTGCAAGCGAAGCTGAGGAAACCCCCCCCCCCCAAAGCTCAAATTTCATGCACCTGGCCACTAGTCCTATAGAATAAAAGCCTAATATGCTAAGTATCCAGTCGACCAGTTGGCTGTTCAACCAATCAAGGAATAATATGCAAATGATATGCTAAGGCCACTCAACTGCTAGCTATGACGTGCACTGACCATCAGGGGGTGACCAGTCGACAAGTTGCTATGACATGAGCTCATCACTAGTGGGCAGATGCTCTGACTGGTAGGTTAGCTTGCTGCTGGGGTCTGGCCAATGGGGACTAAGCAAGATGGGCCCAACATGCCCTGGAGCCCTCCTGTGGTCCCTTCTGGGCTGGCCAACCTCCCGAATACCTCTTCAGCCCCAATTATGCACTAGTGGGGCTCCTCGGGGGATGTCAGAGAGTTGGTTTCGGCCGGATCCCCAGGCCAGGCTGAGGGACCCCACTATTGCACGAATTCATGCACCGGTCCTCTAGTTTAAAATATTAACTACTGCCTTCCCATCACCACTTTGGACCAACATCATTTTGGAAATGATGCATTCAATAGAGTAGGAGGTACTTCTATAAAGTCCTAATTTTTTGAATATTTAATATACATATTCAAATGTGCTTCTTTTTGTACATTGTTGAATGATGGTCATGGCTTGTTTTCAGAATTTTCCTTTTGGGATGGTCTTCAGAACCAATTTACGTACTAGCTTTACAAAGTCCCCTTGTTTTACAGATATAGTCATAAAAGACATGGCCACATTCCTAATCCTACTAAATACTGATTACCACACCCATCATTTTAGTAAATCATGTTTTCTCTGTTTCTGGCTTAGGAAATGAACCGGTACCGCTCTTGGTGCAGCCTCTTATTCGGTTATGACTGGGTTGGGATCCCGCTGGTCTACACCCAGGTATCAAATACTGTGCACATGACTTTTATAATATTTCTGCTTGCTCCCTCTGGCACTGGCTGCGGGCCACCAGCGCTGTGCTCTCACTTGGGTTTCTCTCTGTTCCAGGTTGTCACTCTGGCTGTCTACACCTTCTTTTTTGCGTGCCTGATTGGACGCCAGTTTTTGGATCCCACCGAAGGCTACGCTGGGCATGACTTGGATCTTTACATTCCAATCTTTACTCTCCTACAGTTCTTCTTCTATGCCGGATGGCTCAAGGTAGCCAACGGTCTCAGAGTCCTGAGACCCACTCTGTGATCTCTGTCATGTGCCAAACTCTGCATGCTGATCCTTCCCTGAGCCTAGCCAGTCATTCCTGTGTGAGTCCAAGACAGATTTAACATTTAATGGCTCAGAGATGTTATTCCTTTTCATCCAGGGATTAAAGTGTCAGGGACGTGGTGAGTACCTATGGCAGCCACTGAAGCAGCTCATTTATGCAGAAAGATTACAAGAAGACTCTTTTATGGCTATTGATTTTTTAAGTCTTTGTGCGCTCCCACTAGGATTACAATAATGTAAGTAAAGTAATGACTGTATCTGCATTGATGCTTTGTACAGTGATAAGCAACGCCGCAGTAAAAGAGAGTAAATAGAAAGCTTTGTATCTTGATTCTGCTCGACTCAAGGATAGTTCACTGTGATTCCCTGAAATCCCACTAGCTGTCTCACAATATTGAACCCATTTTCAAAACCAGAATTGAGACTCAGAAAAGAATTCATCGAAATCAAAACCAGAAACACCAGAACTCATGACAACATCTGGTGTGCCAGTAAATTGAAAACAGGTTAGAACAGTGAGGACAGCTTGTCCAGTCATCAGTGTCAAGTGTTCATTGTTCCCACCAGCACCTCCTCCCCCTCCTCCCGGAGGTCTGTGTAGATATCAGAGTTCTGACCCTTCCATCCCTTTGGATAACGGCCAAAACAGAAGTACAGTATGTGATGGGGGAAAAAAATTGGAGTCTTTGGCTGCATTAGGTTAATTGAAATCTAACGACAGTTTGAAGATGGTGTTAAGAACATAGACTTTCCAGGTGTGTGGCCTTCCAAAACAGCTGCATGCGGAGGGCATCGGTGAGATTCTCCAGGTTGTGGCAGCATTTTCCCTGCAGGTGCCTTTACTTTCATTGATTTGAATCTTAACCAGAAAAGCAATAAATTACGTTGGCATTTCAAATTATTCTCCAAAAAGTAAAGGCATTTTATTCTTTGCAAATGGCAAAAACATTTTTAACCAGATGACAAATTCCTATTTTTTTAACTTGTACACAATTTATTACACTGCAGGGCTAACACATGTTACCCTCCTGACAAGATGCTTAAAAAGTACTAGTTGACTTACATGCATTTCTCAAATTTTCTTCAAAATACAAAAATTGCCAAAATGATGAATTTGATCCCATTGGGAGCTTTGATATATTCAAAAGTCTCCATGTGTGTGTGTGTGGAGAGAGAGAGAGAGAGAGAGAGAGAGAGAGAGAGAGAGAGAGAGAGAGAGAGAGAGAGGTCTAGTGAGAGAGAAACATCAGTCAATTGCCTCTTGTACTGGCCCCAACTGGGGAATGAACCTAGAATCTAGGTATGTGCCCTGACTGGGAATTGAACCTGCAACCTTTTGGTGTACAGATGATGCTCCAAAAAACTGAGCCATCTTACCAGGGCTAGATTCTATTTTTATAAACAGAAAAATTACCAAAATTGGCTCAAATGTTTAATCATTCTGTTCTTTCCCCTGAGTAATACTGAGACTTATAGTCTTACTTTGTGTCCATGTGAAGTGTTTGGTCAGCCTGCAAGAAACAGTTCTTGCCTTCTGACAGTCTCTCTAAAATATTAATGTTTTATTCTTTTATTATTTTTTTCAATATATTTTTATTGATTTTAGAGAGGAAAGGAGGAGAGAAAGAAACATCAATGATGAGAGAGAATCATTGATCACCTGCCTCCTGTACGCCCCCTCCTGGGGATCAACCCTGCAACCTGGGCATGTGCTCTGACAGGGGGTCAAACTGTGACCTCCTGGGTTAATAGGTCAATGGTCAACCACTGAACCACACCAGCTGGGTTCTTTTATAAAATATTTTTAAAGAAAAAATATGATCCAGGCCGGCATGGCTCAATGGTTGAGCATCGACCTAGGAACCATGAGGTCACAGTTTAATTCCTAGTCAGAGCACATGCCTGGGTTGTGGGCTTGATTCCCAGTGTGGGGTGTGCAGGAGGCAGTCGATCAATGATTCTCTCTCATTATTGATGTTTCTATCTCTCTCTGCCACTCCCTTCCTCTCTGAAATCAATGACAATATATTTTTTTAAAAGAATTGATTCTTTATTTTAAAATATATCCTATATAATAAAGAGGTAATATGCAAATTGGCCATCACACCCTCACAAGATGGCTGCCTATGACCAGACCAGCAGGGGGTTAGTGAGGGACAACCAAAAGACTGAACAGCAGGCTGCATGGGGTGATCAGGCCAGTGGGGGGGGCGGGGGGGGGCTATGAGTGGCAACCAGGCTGGGAGGGTGGGTAGTTGGAGGCAACCAGGTCAACAGAGGGGGGAAGTTGGGGGCAATCAGGCTGGCAGGGGGGACAGTGAGTGGTGACTAGGCCAGCAGGAGGGCAGGCAGTTAAGGGCAATCAGGCTGGCATGCAGAGGCAGTGAGGGGCGATCAGGCCAGCCTGGGGGAGGTGTAGGGGGGCAGTTAGGGGCCACCAGGCAGGCAGGCAAGCGAGAGATTAGGAGCCAGTGGTCCAGGAATGGGAGGGGGATGTCTGACTGCCAGTTTAGGCCCGATCCTGGGGATCAGCCTAAACCGGCAGTCAGACATCTTCTGAAGGGTCCCGGATTGGAGAGGGTGCAGGCTGGGCTGAGGGGACCCTCTCCCATGCACAAATTTCATGCACCAGGCCTCTAGTATATATGAAAAGCCAATCTTAGTTCCATTAAGAGAGAGGCAGTCCTAAGAGAAGTGAGTTTTCTCACCACGGATTGTATCTCAATTTCTAAACACCTATTTTATCTACACCATTCTAATACTTATCACTCTTTTCATAGTGTAGAAAATTCATCTAACCTTATGAACAGTATATTATTCAGATATTTGCTGGAAATGGAGCCTCCAAGAAAGTGAAAAAATACTTTTGTGAGATGGTTAATTCGGAGACATAGGTATCATTTTGGTAGCTAAATGTAGACTCTATTACTATATGTGAGACTGATCCCAAAAAAGCGAAATTCTGAATATAATAGAATAGTTTCAAGACCCATCTAGTCACCCATGTAATTTAAGAAAACCCCCAGATAAAAAAAGTCAGAGAGCCCCTTAGAACTTGCAGTCAATGACCTCGACGTGGATGCTGTTATGAGGCTGCCTGATTCATGCCCTGGCTAGGGCCGCTCCTTAGAATAAGGGGGATGGTGGTTCTCACCCCAGCCACCCATTTAAGTATCCTGGGGGCTTTACCCAGCACTAATGCCAGTGTTCAACCTCTCACCCATTAAATGAGAATTTTGGGAGGAAGGGCCCAGACATCACTCGTTTTAAAAGCTCCCCAGGTGATTTTGTTGTTCAGCCAAGGCTGAGAACAACTGCTCTAAGTGATTAGACTTAAATCCTAAAAAATAAATAGGTAGGTTTTCTACCAAATAGTCTCAGAATCTAGAAACTACTAATCATTTAGGCCCAATGAAAAATCACTTACACACCCAGATAATAAAAATCAAAGGGAATTACTAAAAAATGAGAACAGGTGAATCATATTTGGCATCTAAATCTCTCATCAAGAAGGCTATTTCAATTCAGGAGCATGGTAAGAATATATAATATTGACCAACTATTGTAAGATATATAAGAAGCTACTAAATGTTCCCAGTGGGAAAACTAACCCACTAAATCCTTTAGGGTAAAACAAATTCCAGCTTTATGACTTACTAGCTCTTGGACTCATCCATTTAACAGTTACGTCCAATAATTACACAGCTCCTTGTATTATTTTTGTTCATTGTGATTTGTCTTTCTTTGCTGTTTCAACCTTCCCCGTGTTTAGATTTTGTCTCGACACCTGGGCCTTCAAAAATTCCTAAGAGCACAGGCAGTGCACCCCTCAAAGTGCCTGGTGTCATGCCTCGCACACTGTCAGGGCTCCTTCCGTAGTCAGTGGTCTGATTTGCACCTGAAAATCGATTATAGGACTTCTAAAAGCCCGTGGCTTCTCTGGACAGGCCTGCAGAGCCACCGGATAAACAGACCCACTGAGAACCTGCCCGTGCAGGTGCATCATTCCTGGTCTGAGAGTCGGGTCTCGTTTGCTGGTGAATATCTGCGTCCTCCCCGTCTAGACTTCATCCGATGGAAGGGACCACAGAAAGCAGAGAGTGAAACAGGCATCCTCCTCAGCCTTCACTCTGAGTCCTCACAGCATCACGGCTCACTTGGTCTATGTTCTCACTGCAGGTGGCTGAGCAGCTCATCAACCCTTTCGGAGAAGATGATGATGATTTTGAAACGAACTGGTGTATTGACAGAAATCTGCAGGTGAGAGGAGCTTTCCTTTTCTTTCTTTTTACATATATATATACACACACACACACACACACACACACACACACACACACACACATATACATCTCTATATATAAAAGGCTAAGTGCCTGCCCCACCGGCAGCTATGATGAGCACTGACCACCAGGAGGCAGATGCTCGATGAAGGAACTGTGCTCTGGTAGTCAGTGCACTCCCACAGTAGGAGCGCTGCTCTGCTGACCTACAGGCGCCAGACACCAGGCTCACAGCTGGCGAGCGCTGCTGCTGCTGCTGCTGCTGCTGTGGTGGCACAAGCCTCTCCCACCTCCATGGCAGCACTACCACTCCTCCCTGATTGCCTGCCGCTTCACGCACTGCTACATCCCTCAGGGGATGTCAGACTGCCAGTTTCAATCCGGCCTGCGGGGATCAGGCTGAAACCAGCTGTCTGATATCCCCGAGGGGTCCCAGATTGCGAGAGGGCATGGGCTAAGGTGAGAGATCCCACCAGCGCACAGGGCCTCTCGTTAATAATAAATTACTTGTGCCATTTTAAATCCAAACAGATCCTGAATGCAGGCCCTTGCACTTTGGTCCTTCCAACTGTTAGCCACAAATAAAGGGGGTTTGGCCCTTCGGTATGTTGTCCGAGGTCCTTCTGAAACCTCACAGCTCCTGGATCTCAGTTCTGGAGAAATGTAGCCCCTTTTACGTAGAATTTCAAGCCAGTTTTCTTTTTAAAGTTGGATCATTAACTAGAGGCCCAGTGCATGAAATTGGTGCATGGGTAGGGTCCCTAGTAGCTGCCTGCTGCAGGCCAGGGCCTTCCTTCATTCTGCACTGCCCCCTGCTGGTCAGCACACATCATAGCAAGCTATCGAACTCCCAGTTGGTCAAACTCCCAAGGGCACACTTTACATATCAGGTTTAGATAGATAGATAGATAGATAGATAGATAGATAGATAGATAGATAGGTAGGTGTTATACAGCCTCCTCCTCCTCAGAACAAAACAATATGTTAATGCATTCTTTAGTTCGTTTTCCATTGCCACCCAGAGAGGTTAACAGTGACATAAGGGCAGCCAGAGGCAATCTGATATGAGTTCCCAAACTCATGTCACATAGGTCCCTGCCTTCAGACGTCACCATCAGCTGGACACTGGGAGCCTGGGCCACACTGGCCCGTATCTCAGATCCGCCTGCATCAGACCAAGGGGACCTCGGCCCCTTCCCTGAAGCATTATCCCACAGAGGTTTTCCATGAAGAACCAGCATAAGATGAGGAGAATGCTCTCCTCAGACCATTCTCTCCCCTGAGAAGCACAGCCTGGGGAAGGCCTTCAGCTGGTCTATCTGTTTCCAGCCCTTACTTGGCTCTTACACAGGTTCGAGCATTTCACCATCGGTCACTGCTGGTTCACAAACTGGCCCCCATACAGAGAGGGTAAGGAGAGACTGGAGAAGGAGGCAGGCCGCTCCAGATTGGCGGGCAGCAGGTTTAACAAGCAATGGGACACTTACATACATGCCAGGCTTGTCTTGGGTGGTCACCATGTCAGCCTATCTCCTCACCCACCTGGCAGAAGCTTCAAAGTTTACACAGAGGCCTTCACTGGCTGCTGCAGTCAGGTACATTGTTCTGATGGCCTCAACAACACATTGCTCTGTCCGGCCTGCATCCCTGAGGGCAGCTCCACTGTGACCAGGACATACATTCCAGGACAGGACAGCCGGGGGAGGAGCCTCCTATTGCAGCTCCTGGATCACCTGGCGGTCACATCATCTCCATCCCTCTCTCAATAATCACACTGTCCATCCGCCAGGGAGGAAGCCTAGGCCACTCACCCTGTTCAGCTTGGATTCCCAGAGGGTTCATAAGTCACTCATGCATCGGTTTATCAAAATCAGGAGGAGAGACCACTATAGCCCCACGCAGGACAGGGTTTTGAAATACTTTTCCAAACAAACTCAAGGCATATAATAAGAAACAATATCAGGGACGAGGGTGTTTTGGAATCCACAGAGTGGCATATTGAGGATCTTCAGCTTCCAGTGGAATCTGGGATTTGTGGGTGCTGCCAAGATAGGCAGGATGGTGACTCTGAGCAAAGAAGACGGTGCTTCTCATTCCTCCCAGTTAGAAGCAGCTCCACTCGGAGGCATGTGGCTCAATGAGCCCTGTCTGAGCAGCTTCCCAGCCCCACTCTCTGCAGAGACCCGGGCTGCAGCAATTACGAACCACAGACATTTGTATATCCACTCATCGGGCTGTGCTCCATCCACTCCAACTCCCATCCGCCCCCCGAAACGTCTTCTCTTTCTTTCTATGGTGCACACCTGGAAGATTCTAACACTGTAACAATGCTTTCAGGTCTCTCTTTTAGCTGTGGATGAGATGCACATGAGCTTACCCAAGATGAAGAAAGACATTTACTGGGACGATTCTGCTGCTCGCCCCCCATATACACTGGCAGCTGCTGACTACTGCATACCCTCATTTCTGGGGTCAACAGTCCAAATGGCGTAAGTACATTTAAAAAAAAAAATAAGTGATAATTTTTTGCCATGTTCTCGACATTACTTTCATTACAACTTTCAATTATCAGTATCTTATAAATTTTATACATAATTAACATACCCAATGGAATTGGAGAGTAAAGAGATGTAGTTTCTGGTTTAAATATGGGTGTGTGTGTGTGTGTGTGTGTGTGTGTGTGTGTGTGTGATATTTGGGGAAATTTGCATTTTTACATTGTTTTTGTACCACAGCAAACTTCTCCAATAGATGTGAAACTATCCTTTTTCCCCCCTGTGCAATTTGAAGATAGTTTAATTATGTAGTCTTTTATTGTTTAACTCTACCATAATTAAATGCATTTTTAACAAGTGTGTATTGAGCATGTACCATGTGCAGGCACTGTATTAGACTACTTGGAGACAAGCAAATCTTAAAGAATGAAATGAGTTTTATCAAAAGATTTCCCTAAGATTATAATTCAACCCACACTGGCCAGGTGGCTTAGTTGGTTGGCATCATCCCGTACACCAAAGGTTTCCGGTTCAATTCCCGATCATACTAGGCTTTGGCTTTGATCCCAGGTGGGAGCACATACAGTAGGTAACTGATCGATGTTCCTCTCTCATATCCATGTTTCTCCCTCACATCCATGTTTCTCCCTCTTTCTTTTTCTCTTCCTCCCTCTAAAAATCTATAAACAAATCCTTGGAAAAGGATTTTAAAAAAAAGATTATAATTCAACCCAACTGTGTTTAATATATAAGTCTTTCTCTGTTCCCTGGTTTTAACATAACAATCTGTCCCTATAGACAAGCTTTAAATAAATGGGCTGAGGTCTGAAGTAAATCATGCACAGTTCTTGAATAATTTCATTAAATCTGATAATGTATTTGATTTTTAAGAAATGTGTGAGTAGGGAGGAAGTTTGAGTATTTTTGCTGAAGGCAGATGCCACAGTTTCCAAGTAACTTAAAAAGAGTAAGGAAAATTTTAGAAAAATAAGAAGCCTTCTCAAAGATTACAGAAAAAGGAAAAAGCTTGTGGAATTTTTCTTATAACTTTTGGGCAAAGAGTGGCTTGTTGTTCCCCCGACGGAATAACTTGAATTTGCATCTTTTTTTTTTTTAATGTATTTTATTGATTCTTTTACAAAGTGGAAGGGATAGGGATAGAGAGTTAGAAACATTGACCAGCTGCCTCCTGCACACCCCCTACTGGGGATGTGCCCGCAACCAAGGTACAGGCCCTTGACCGGAATTGAACCTGGGACCTTTCAGTCCGCAGACCAACGCTCTATCCACTGAGCCAAACCGGTTTTGGCTGAATTTGCATCTTGTAGTTGCCACTTGTGACCCTTCATTCCCTCCCTCCCACCCCCCCCCATCCTCACCCCCCCCAATCGAAAACTCTTTCCCTAGCGTTTAAAAAGCAAAATTCAACTGAGTACATTTCGAAGATCCTATTGGCTTTACTCAGTGATTCGTGAGCATTCACTTAACAGATAGAAAGGAGCCCCAAGGAGCTGGCTTTTATAGACAGAAGGGAGCAGGAACAAGGAAGTGTTGCAGTAGGCAGCTGAACACATTGGTTATTGCAAGGTTTCCTTCAGCAGGTGCAGGGGCCTAGCAGGCAGATTATGTAACTAGTGCTCTCCAGGGGAGTCCAGATGGGCCGGTGGAAGATCCCATTTCTGGGCGAGCTGGAACTATATTTAAGGCTCCATTTGGTGATGCAGGGCTTAGCAGAAGCAACTTGCAGCTTGTTGTCTTGTGTTTATTTCTTTTTTTTTATTAAATTTACTGGGGTGACATTGGTTAATAAAGTTATATAGGTTCCCGGTGCACAATTCTACAGTACATCATCTGTGTATTGTATTGTGGGTTCACTACCCCAACTCAAATCTCCTGCCATCACCACTGATCCCCCACACTCTCTTCTACCTCCCCACCCCGCCTCACACACATCCCAGCTTTGTCTTGTTTTCATCACCGTATCAGTCCTGTTTCGGTCCTGTTTCTGTAAGGCTTTGCTCTTAGCCGAGTGTCTCCCGGGCCCCATAAGCAGTGATGTGTATGCTCCTCCCAAGGAGCTGCTGAGGCTGAAAGCCCTTCGAGACCCAGAGGAAAGGATGACAAGGCAGAAAGTCATGCGCTGTGGTCTATGTATAATGAGGCCGTTCAGGAGCCAGGAGATTTGCCCTTTCCTCAAGAACACCGTAGAGGAGGGTGCCTACGCTAGCCTTGCTCCTGCCTCCGGAGAGACTGCTGAGCCTGGGCTCTGCTGTCCAGAGCTTCTTCCAGGCCAGGGAGCTCGTACCCACCCGCCAGTGGCTCCGTCTCCGGGAATAGCAATGTCCTGTGGTTTGCGCTACTCAGCATCTTTAGTGCGCTCTGCAGCGGCAGTTTCGTGGATGTCTGGCAACGTTTGCAATTTTGAAAATTAATAGATGCTCTTCTGTGAGTTTGTTTTTAGGTCATTAAATAGGCTTTAACCTTCCCCTCCAGTCCCATCATTGACTAACGCAGAGTGTTTGAAGAGCTAACCTGTAAAGGAAGAGAACCCAGCACCACTGGTGGGCAGGGGGTTATTGGGGTGCCGCTAGTGAGTCTGCAGGTGCTACCTGTGTTCCAGTTTGAGTGTCTACTTAGTTGTTTTTGGTGATGGTTAAAAAGATATATATTTATTTATTTATATATTTATTTTTTGTCTCATCAAGTCAAGAGTGGTGGTATGTATTTTATTGGTTTTATAACACTTAAGGACGGGAAAGGGGAAGCTGCCCTCTTCCACCCTGCCATTGTTCCTTAAAACCACTTTATGCCTCGTTTGAACAGATCCATAAAGACTCCTTATGCTATTTGCTGGAGGACCGTCCACTTTATGACTTAGCAGCCCTTTCATCGGGGAAAAATTCCCTCAGACATCAGTGGGAAAGAAGAGAGCTTTGTCTCTTCTGGGCAAACTTCCACTATTTGTTACGGACTCTGGGTTTTATCATTGGTGATGGTCTCCTTTCCATTTGGCTGCTGGCAGCTGCAAATCAAATTTGTAGCCCACCTGTAGAAAGTCTGTGGGGTTTGGGGGCTGTTTTTCTGGGTACTGTGTCTCATCCTGCCATTCTTCCTTATTCTAGCTCTCCTGTAGTAGCCTAACTTCATATATTATTGCATTGTTTTTATAAGCCACCTCAAATCCTTTGTAAGATAAAGCAAGATGTAATAAACAAACTGATAAATATTCTTGCTCTGGAAAAAGAAGGAAAAAAGACAGGAATCCACTGGAGAATAAGGAAGGCACGGGAGCCAGAGGGGTTGACAGAGCAAGGTCCTAGAGAAAACACAGGAAGGCAGGGGCTGGGCTGGTCCCAGGAGGGGCCTGGGCACCTGAGCAGGAGGGAAGGCACTGAAGCCAGATGTGGTGAGTGGGGCGGGAGATGGTGCCTGTGTAGCTAGTGAAGCAAACACCTGTGTGCTCACCACAGCTGATCTTCATCATGTCTTAATCCAAAGGAAGTGTTAACAAGACCCATCTTTCTCTGTCCAATCTGAGGCCAAAAAGCTTGTTTTAAAACTATATTTTATAATTTCTAACACTAAATGAGTGCTGAATTTCTATCTCCCAATCTTTGTATGGAGCATATTAAAAATCAACTTCAGAATGACCATTTTCAATGGGAAAAACGGCCAGTTGAAAATCTGAAGAGAGCACGCAAAATAGAAATTTTTATTTACAAAAATGTTAATTTTCATAAATATACCTGTCTTGGGCATCTAATAAATAGTGTTGATTATTCTCTGGCCAGTGCTGTGTCCACTTAATAAACCATGTTATGAATTAATTGAGCAATGAAAAGAAATCTTTCTGGTTATTCCCTTTTCCCATTACACAGCTGAGATGATATCATTTGAATCTGATTAGTAGTCTTTTGTCATAATGTAAAACACTTTCTGATCTGCTGTTTTAATTAAGGCATCTTTTCATTCGTTTAGCCATGCAGGCACTATTAACCAAGATTTTAAAAATGTCTGAAAACAATCAAAAGAAGAGTTGTTCATACAATACATCCAAACTCTAAAAACAATGGGTCTTCTTTTACAACAACAAAAAAAAATTATATAGTAGATCAGAAGTATTCTTAATTATATTGATTCAAATATACCAGAAGCAAGCACTCTGTTTCATAAATTTCACTTCCCCAAAACAAACTTACAATGCTTAAACTCAAGCCAGCATTGCTGAAAATAAATTTCTGTTTAAAACAAACAACAAGAACTAAGGTACAGGCCTAGCCTACCACACAGCTGGCTTGAAGTAGAATGCTTGTCTTCAATTATACAGCCACGAGGTGCTCCAAAATTCTTATCATTTTTTAAATGCTTGGGATTATTCATTAGCACAACTTGCTAAGTCTCTGAGTAATGGAATATATGGAAATTAAAAACCTGAAGTCTCATAACTCCCTTTAATCCTCTCTTGTAAATCAAAATGACCAAGAGTGTAGAAGCAATAATTTTTTAAAGACATTGGTAAACCCTAATAAAATGCCCAACCGTAGCAACTAAAGGATTCAAAATCTTGGAGAAGGCTGTAGCTGATTGTGAAATGGATCACTCACGGGTGTCATGCGTGTATGAGGTGTACTAACACTGTCTGAATCTAAAAGCACTTGCTCTGCCTGTGAACCTTAGACTGCTGACTGCAATCCTGTTTTTAAAAGTCTGTTCTATTGGGCTTTCTGCCATGATTCAAACATGTCAACATCTCACACGGTGATCTTAAGCAATGTGTCCATGAAGCCAATTAAGGATCCACTTAGTAAAGAGGAAAAATATTCTAATTTTTGTAGAAACTTACTCCTATTTGGGAGTTGAGGAATTTATGACTTATGTGTTACTGTGAAACTGTAACCAATTACCCAGAAATAATGACTTTTACTTCTCTGTCTTCATTCCAAAATTCTAAGAATATGTAGCAATGATACATTTACTTTTTTACAATTATACAA